AGCATGAACAACGCCTGGTTCAGCTGCATGGGTTTATCTGCAGAGATGTTTCAGCAGCTGTGAAAGTTTGTCCTTCATAGAACAAGACGACTGAAACGGTTGCACATTCACACCAGGCATCGTAACATCTTAAAACACACAAGCACACGCACACACACACACACACACACTGACCTGGGGTCTGGAAGTTGAGTGCGACCAGCTGGGAGCCGCAGAGCCACATGGGCAGCGGGTCGTAGTTGGATGAGTCCAGCCTCTGTCCTCGGGGATAAACTCTGGAGAGCTGGCGGCGGTTGTACTGCAGGAAGCGTTTCCCTCTGCTGCGAGTCGCAAACTTCTCAGCCTTCGTCTCCGGGAACGACGACATGTCCCGATAACACGTCCTCTCCGTGCCGATCTCTGCACACGGCAGCAGATAAAAGAGGAAATGAGACGCGTGGATATAGAAATAAAGAAGCGAAAGGAGAAGATTCTTACTGTCTTCATTGAAGGGGACAGGTCGGCAATAAACCACGAGCTCCGACAACTCCACCGCGATCTTCTTCCTCCTCTCCATCTGTTTCTCCTCCTGCATCTGTTACCATGGAGATAAGATAACCATACAGAGTGACTTTAAATGACAAAACAGATTTTAGCGACAAGAAGCCGCACGACCAGTTATTTAAGAAAAATTATGACAAAATAAATAAAACATTCAAAATGTCACCATTAAAAAAAAAGTGCTTTCTTGATTTATGCAGTGACTTAGAATAAATTAGAATAAAGTTGTGTTAAGTTGCATTCAGACTCCCTGTGTGTGTGTGTGTGTGTGTGTGTGTGTGTGTGTGTGTGTGTGTGTGTGTGTGTAGGGTCACACTGACCCGTGCGTCAGCGTTCTGCGCAGCCTCTCTGATCTTGGCGACCCAGCTGGTCAGATCCTCCAGACTGTCGGCCGCCACGTCCAGCGTCTGCACCGGGTGAGAGGAGAGATGCTGCGAGTGGATGGTGAAGACGTACGGCCGCGAATTTTTACCGTCTTTATGAACCACTGGAGGAGGAGGGGAGACGGGGGGAGGACAGAGACAGAGGAGAGGAGAGCGATTTGTAAGAAAAGGAAACTGAAATTTAAATTAAATCTTTTTCGTAGTTTTTTGAGACTGCATGTGCAAAATGCAACAGTTCAGTGATGTAGCCTGCAGGGGGCGTGGTTTTATGGTATGTGTAGCTGCAGTAACTGCACCTGCAGCTTGACCTTCTGATATAAAATGTCATTGCTGTATTCTACAGAAGTGTTTAGATTTAGGTTTGTCTGTAAATCCGCTCTTTGTTTCCTGAACTCACCCACGTGGCCGGAGGGAACGTCGATGAAGCCCTTGAGGAAAGTTCCCAGAGGACTGTTCTCTGTCGACTGAGGCAAAACAAACACACACTGATGTTTGAATAAATAAATGAAATAAACCGTTTCACACACGCTTCAACATCAGAAGCAGAACCCACCACGTCCTCCTGCTCTCTGGTGGGGGAACTGGGAACCTCCTCCACGTAGTTTGCAGGAAACAACAGCTGCTTCTTCCCACCGTAATCTCCTAGCCACCTGAAGAGAGGTCAGAGGTCAGTGACGAGCGTCTGCACGACCCACAGGAAGTCACGTGCACGGCGAGTGTCGCTCACCAGCCGCCCTCCTGCTTGTCCACGTTGAGGATGAGCGCCTGTTTGGGGAAACAGAGCTCGTCTTCCCTCTGAGCCCGATAGTCGTACAGAGCTTTGACCGTACACTGAGACAGAAAAAATAGTTACGTACGTGATTCCAGAAACAAAGAACAGAGTTTAAAGAAAACAGGATCGTTCAAAGGATGAAAATCATTCATGAGCTGATGAAAGTTACTGACCCGAGCTGTGGGCATCTTATTGGCCTCCACGTAGAAATGAGGCGTGCGGACTTCGTACAGAGCTCCGTAGTCGAGCTCCTGACGAACACACAACAAATGATGGAGGTTACTTAACTTTGCACTGTCGCATTGTTTATTTGCACTTTGTGAGTTTGTTTTCTTGTTGATTCTCATTGAAAAAGGACTAAAACGGTGATTTGCTCCTGAAGTATCGCGTGTGACTGACCGTGGTTCCCATCCGGTCCAGAGTGTCCTCGTTGATCGGGTAGCGGAGCCTCATCTTGCGGTAAAGCGGATGTTTCTCGTAGTAGCTCACCAGATCCACCAGACTCTCAAACTCTGCTGAACTGCCGAGCATGAAGAGACGTCCCTCCTGCTGGATACGGCAGTGCTTGATCTTACCCTCCGCCCTGCACACGCACACACATAATATAAAAGTTGTTTAGTTATTAGGTCATTTTCAGTCTTCCACTGTTTTCACACTGAGCAGAAACCAGATTATTTGCAGTTACAGATCCAGGATTTGTTTAAAATTGTGTGATAGGACGTTTTTTTTACATTTTCAATGATTTACATTTATGAGTTTGTGTAATCTGCTGCAGCCTGAGTGAATTTAAGGGAGTGTTGGTGAGGTTTGAGCTCTACTGTTAGTTTCTAGTCTCATAATGTGATTAAACGTGTTTTACCTGAACGAGATGGCGAAGGAGTTGTGTTCGCTTCGTTTTCGCACCAGGAACGCTCCGTCTCTGGGAACACGCATCAGCATGTGTTCGGCCTGAACCCGGGACAGACTGGAGTGATACCACCTGAGAAACAGACAAACTTTTAATCCTCACTTCCCTCCGGCTCCACGTCAGCTTTTAATCGTCCTCAGGTCACATCGGGACTCACTCTCTGCTCTCGTGTGCGTTGGGTTGGGGGACGGGGTTTCCCAGCCTCATCTCAAACTCGTTGCAGCGCAGCGGCGTGTCCCTGTAGTGGCAGATGAGGCAGTAGAGGCTGTCGAACACCAGGTTGTCGGTCAGGTAGAAGCGGGTGGAGCCAGACTCCTGACGTGAGTGGATCCTGCAGTGCTGGACGCGACCGGAGCGCCTGCATCAGGAGAGAGTCGGTAATTACACTTCAACCACTGTGCCCTTCAAATAATCAGTAAATATAATGATGAGCATCATCATTATGCTGCAGCACAGCGTTATATATTATTTTACACCCTGCCAGAGGAAATTAGACGAGGTTCCTTTAAATCAAAGCCAGAAATGTACTTTTATTGTACTGCATTCCCTGATTTTACCTGATAATAGTTTTTATTATGGTCCTGAGTTTGGTTACTGACCAGAAGGAGAGGGTGAAGTCTCCGACAAACGTCTCGCTCTCTCTGACCAGGAAGGTGCCGTCTTTAGCCCCGCCCTCGCAGTACTCCTGCAGCAGCTTCTCCGCCACCTGCCGACCGTCTCGCCCTCCGCCGAGCTTCCCGTGGAACCAACGCTCGGCGCAGTGCTGCTCGTTGTTGTTGTTGTTGTTGTTGTGCTCCTGACGAGAGGAAGGAGAAGCAGAGAAGTCAATTAATCCACACTCTGATATTTTCATCATCGTGTTGGATGTAATGAGATTACATTAACTTGATTATCATCAGATCCCCACCTCTTTTCCTTCGTCATCCTCCTCTTCATCAGCCGTCTGGTAGTGAGACGTCTCCTCTGAGTAGTAGATCTTATTACTGGTCAGGACGAAATAATGTGGAGTCCACGTCTGTAAATCAGAAAAACACAACTGCAGTGATCCAGTGTTCTTAACACACACACACACACACACACACACACACACACACACACACACACACACTAACACACACTCACACACTCACGTGGTCGATGGGGTCCTCGAGGTAAAGGATGCCGTTCTTCAGAGAGTTGCTGATGTCGTTCTCGGAGTAGCTGGCTGACGCCACCTCCTCGTACAGAGTTCCCTCCACCAGCTTTTTGTGCTAAGACACAAAATAAAAGGAGACAACAGCTTCTTCACAATTTGTCTGCGTGGTCGTCAAGTAGAAGAAAATGAACACAGGCCTTCTGTGTGTGTGTGTGAGTGTGTGTGCACCTTGATGAGGATCTTCCTGCGGAGCTGGTGCGGTGAAGGAAGCTCCTCTGCGTTGTTGTCGACGGGTTTGACGAGCAGCAGGTCTCCGAACACCTTCTTGAAGTGCGTGGCCATGTTCCTCTGCTGGACGACGCTGCAGTGATCCTCGATGGACAGAATCACAGGAAACCTGCACAGACGATGCTTCGTCAACTCAGGAGCAAAGAAACGGAGGAATCAGTGAATTCAATCAACGTCAGTGTGTGAAGGTTATAAACAACAAGTCGTTGTAACGGTGTTAAAATAAGGAGAGGAAATCCTGCTTCACACATGATAACTCGTTTTGTCAGGTCTGTTTTTGTGGTTAGTTATTACTTTGGATTATGTCGGTGAGACAGTGAACGCCGTCAACGACAAACTCACTCGGACGTGACGAAGGCGTGTTCTTTGATGGTGTGCAGCACGTCCAGGAACTTGATCTTGGAGGTCAGCGTGTGGCCGTGGTAGATGATCGGCAGGTCGTCCGGTCCGTCCCAGCAGTCCACTGGGATCAGAACACACAGTTTAAATTTTACCTGCAGTGCTCACACCGACTCACAAGTTAATCAAAGGTTTGTACTGAAAATTTTATATTCTCAAGATTTAAAAATCTTGTTCTTTACGTTCGATGCAGCGGCAGCCCATCCTCAGACAGCGGGCGTAGGCTTCTAGAGACGATTCACTGGAAAACTGGTCGCCCGTCAGGTAGCTGCAATAACAACGACATAACGGACTCAAGTAAAATAATAATAAATGCACATATTTTTCTGCATTGGTGATTCTGTAAAATAAAAGTTTGTGTTTTAACTGTGAGGTGTGAGAACAGTAAAGACCATGAGACGTACGTGTTGTGTGAGGAGGAGATCCAGTACTGAGACAGAGGTCTCTTCATGTCGTCGAGAACAACGGGCGACAGTCGAGGGTCACACACCGAGTTCTCTTTAGAGAACAGGAAGGTCAGGAACTGGAAAAATAAAAAACAGAGTAAAGTAAGGAAGAGTTTATTTCAGTTTCCGTGCACGTTTGTGCGTTTGCTTCACCTCATCTAGTTGAAGCATCGGCTCAGGGTGTGGGCCCCCCCTCATGTACCCCATCAGAAACTCTCTGACGCGGCTCAGCTCCGACGCCCAGGACTCCTGAGACGAGACGAGACGAGGACGTGAGAACAAAGACACAGTTTGTAGAGAGCTGTTGTTTTTTGACGGGATCTGAATCTGCTCGGTACCTTCTGGTCCATCTGTAAAAACTTCTGGAAGTCGTAGAGAGAGATCTGACAAAGCTCCGGTCTGTCCACGTTCCTACACAACACGAACAAACTGGAGTAAAACATGTCCAATACGATATATCGGTCGACACATATATATTTTAAGATGTCATTATTAAACTTTAAAGACAAACACAAATACAACCACATAGAACTTGAAACATAGAACTTGAAAAAGAAATTGTAGAATTTCAACATACATCTTTTCAGCATTGTTTATTTGTAAAATAAAAGTTTTGATAACTTCAAACGTAAACTCTGATACTGAACTTTTTATTGTTCGGACTCTTTTATTAAAACATGAAAAACACATGGAAGTGTTTCCTTCCCTTCCTCTGGATCTGAGTGTGGAGAGGAGGACGGTGGTGGGGTGCATATGAGGGAGTGGAGGCTAAGGAAGAGGAGGAGGTGAGGGTGAGGGTGAAGGTGGAGGAGGAGGGACTCACCTCAGAGGGAAGGAGAGCTCCAGCTGCTCAATAATCTGGGAACAGAGAGGGGGGGGAACCAGGTGACGGACAGGTGGGAGGAGCCAGGTGAAGCATCGACAGGTAAGACTCAACGTGAGCGTCGTGTGGTGCGAGTGCAGACGTGGAAACTAACAGGGTGCTGCTGAAATACTCAAATTCTGTACTTTAGGGTATTTTTAGCAATTTCAAGATGAAATAAAAAACTGCGGGGGGGGGGGGGTCTATAAGACCTTGATACTCCAACTCCACTGATGTCATCAGTGCAAGATGGCCGCTCTCATATCTGAGAAATATCGGCTTCATGTTTGTGCAGCAAGAAGAAGTGGAGACGAGTCCTCCATCTTTTTTTACTGTTTTATTTATTTTATTCAGTTAAAGGTTTTACTTAAATTGGGTCTTTTAATTGAGGTGGAGTTTTAATTTTCTGGAAGTACAGAATTTAAGAAGTTTTTCTGCCATTCAGTGAACGTGTGTGTGTGTGTGTGTGCAATACTCAACACTGAGACTCACACTCCTCTGTGCGTCAAACATGAGCGTCCTGTAGAGCTGTGCAAAGTTGGGGTACGACAAATCGCTCCTCGCCTCCACTTCCTGTCAGTGCGACAGAAAATCGGCACCGTGGTCACGTCAGAAAACCCAGAGGAGACAAATACATACATTTAAAGTGCACGAGACGTTCTGCTCCGACCTGTAGTTTGTCTTTGAGAAAACGCATGTTGGGGACTCTGTAGTTGACCTGAGGCAGCAGAGCTTTCACTTCCTTCACCGTGACGCTGGAAAGAAAAGCACGAGACAAACTTAACAACAGTCTGAACTCACTGAAGCAGACGGATCACAAGGCTTTTAGAAGACAGTGATGTTTTCTGTGTTCACCAGAGGGTGGCGCTGTGTGTGAAGGATGTTTAAAATGACTCAAGTGATTTTCATTGTTTTCATCTTCAAGGATTTAACAACAATGGTAGAACCATGTGAACCTCGCTGAGCTCAAAAGTTCTATCACAACAAACGTTGCTCTGAGGCTTTCACTCCTGAAACATGAGCCTCAGCTGCAGAACGACCGTTTTAAATTTGAGCGGCAACAAGAGACAAGAATTCTTTTTTAACCAAAGAGCAGAGGAGCTGAAGATGGAGCACAGGAGATCTGTCTGAGCAACGAAATATCAGAAAGACCACACTCTGGAATAAAGATAAGAAATACATAAAAACATAAATATGATCATTTAAATAATCTGAAAATAACTGGAAACAGATCAGACACTGTGGAGAGATACTTTAAGTATTTATGTTTTTACTCCTTGTTTGTTTGGATTACGCAAAAAATACTTGACGTATTACAACGAAACTTGGTGGAAGGACGCGAGGAGACGTTTCTCAGAATCTTCGTAGGTTTCTCAGAGAACAACTCATGGATCTCGATGAAAGACCTTAGGCACATGCAGGGGACTGATATTTATGAGTTTACACAATTTGGTGTAAATCCAAATAAAAGTCCACGTCCAGCAGACGTAAACATGGTTTCATCCGGGGACTGTTGTAAAAACTGTATTTACAGAAAAGCTGCAGCAGATTCTCCTGCAGAGTCGTTGACCTCTTTACCTCAGCACACGGATAATCACTTCAGTTGATTCATAAAACACATGCAACCGTGAGCCGTCAGTGCTCAGAGGCAGAGACGGTCTCATGGGGTCAACGACCCACTGTTGTCAGGTCCGATGCGTCTCTCCTCCCTCTTGCCTCTGTCTAGATTCTGTTACTATTTTCACAAGAGACAGGAAGTTGCCCTCTCCCAGACCCAGCCCATCGCATCACTTCCTGCTCCTTATCAGGCGGTGGCAGGCTGTTTGTCCTGGAGTGGCCTCCACCCAAACAGAAGCCAGAGACAAGGGAGAAAACGACCCTGTGACACGTGGGCCGCTCTGAGTGTGCACGTTAAGTCATATCCCCAACAGGAGCCAAACGAGCTCTCTGATCACATCTGGATCTGGTTTCACTTTCAACCCGCTGTGACGGAGCGGCCAATCAGCATCCATCACAGGCTGCAGTAAAACCAGCGTGTTGACATGTTTAGTGGCGACTCACCCACCTGCCCTCATGGTTCCTGTCCATGACTTCAAACTGCTTCCTCAGCCACCTGCAGGCGAAGGGACGGAGACGACAGATTAAACAGATTGTCACTCAAGTTAAAGTTAAAAACAAATATCTGTGTGGTGATATTGTGACGACAAACAACATTTGGACACAAAAGCATAAAAATGCTTGAGTCATTGTGAAGTTGTAGCGGGACAGAGGACAGACATGAGAACCTGGAAAAAGCCTCTGGCCGCTGACTGTCGTCCACATTGAGACATAAACAACAAAGACAATTTCCACACACATGTCCAAAAGCTGTTTTCTCCTCATGAGCTAAAGTTTCAGGTAGAAGCTGAGAAAAGAGTCAGTCTGTATTTTTCAAACCCTGTAAATTAAACATTGAGCGGATGGATCCACTCGTTTACACAACGAGCACAAACAGACTGAATTAGCTGGTTCCTTTCCGCTGACCACCTCCAAATATAAACCGCTGGTTTTCTCCTGCACATCTTCACAGCTGCCCTCTGTTCTCCTGCTCCCACCACAGCCTCTGAAACCTGGACTCAAAAACAAATGTTCGTGTTCTGCAGCCTCGTCTTCGGCCCAGGTTACCACACGTCTTCTTTACATGTGAAGGACAATGTCAGTTTCTTCTTTATACACACAAACATTTCACTAAAGCTTGTTCATGTCTCCAATCAATATTTCATCTTATTGAATTAAGAGTCTTCAGAGAAGTGATGTGCACTTTCTGGTTTGGTCCATGTCCCATCTGCTAACATGGAGGAGGTGGGATTTAAGCCTTATACTAAAGGCAGCCACCAGACACTTTTGGGGAGGCTTCATGTCATCCATCTTAACTCACAGTCTACGTTTTGTACATACAGACCAGTGTTGGGAGTGTGTGGGGGCAGGTTATAGATTTATTTTTATATATATTATATAAAATATATTTGATGAAACCTACAGCTCACCTGTCGATCTGCTGCGGAGCCGGCGCTCTCTGAGTGTCAATCATCAGCCAGTTCAGACCTGTGACCCAGATGTTAACCTCCTCCTCACTGAACGCTGCAAAGTCACACAGAAAATACATCATAAATACTATTCCTCTCACGTCATCAGCCTTTTTCAAAAATCTATCTACGCAATTATATAAAAATGCACATTTTTGCAGTTCTTTAAGTTTTTTTTGTCTTTTCTTAAGTAATTTGACAAATAACAAATGATTCATTTTAGGGGAAATATAGAAATCTAGTTTTCATTAATGTATTTGGAGATTTTCACATTTAAATTTGTTTTTGTTCTTTTTAATGTGTTGTTACTTGTGTACACACACACACACACACACACACACACACACACACACACACACACACACACACTGACCGGCCACACTTAGCGTCCTGAGGCGAAACTCCAGGCCGTAGAGAACGATGAAGCAGTGAGCAGAGTCCAGTTTACGAGCCTCCTCTGGGTAGCGCTCAAAATCCCTGGAGCCCTTCCCCAGCCGCAGCTCCCGGATCTCCCGTATGTCGACTGCAGGAGGGAGGCAGGAAGGAGGGATAGTGTTGCATGAGCACAAATATGCACAAACCATAAATCACAGTTTGGCTCGTTGTATCATTTCCCTGCCAAAAACACACAGAAGATTGCTGCCGGAGAGCTGAACTAATGTTGTTGTGTATATTTGTGTGTGTGAGTCCAGAAAAGCCACAAACACACAGACACACAAACATCTCAGCTGTCGAACTGCTGCAGAGGATTTTTCAGCAGCAGACAAACTTACCTCCACATTTATTTGGAAAAATCATCACTTACATGTTCATTAGACGTTTAATGGAATAAATCTGATTCATTGATTGATTCAATTCAGATTTTCAAGAAACTGCAATTTGACACTGAGGATAATCTCTGTGGATAAACAAGAAGATTAACTGACTTTTGAATAGTTTGAAGGGATGTTTGATGTTTGTTTGTCAGCAGGATTACACAAAAATGACTGAATAGATTTCCATGACACTTGGTTGGAAGATGAGACATGGGCCTAAAGAAGAAGCAAAGCAGCCGCATACTTTGATTCATTTTTTGTTTTGACTCATCAATGAATTAATCCATATTCATTCATTCATGTGGAAGTTCAGATTATTCTTCGTGTTTTTTGTCTAATAAATATTCTGAAAACAAGAATATGTGTTCGTGTGACGAGACGGAAATTTCAAACCTGATTAGACATAAAAGTCAGAATTCACGCTTCATCCAGCTCATGTGATTTAAAGAGTTAAACCGAGCGGTGAAGTCACGTGATCGACCACAGAGAATGACGGCAACTCTGGACGTGACTCTGACCCTCGAGGCCATCGACACACCCACAAAGAAAACTATGCCTTATTGACACAGCAGATGTCTTGTGCAAACACACACACACACACACACACACATTAGATTTCTCTCTCATAAACCTGTGTGTTAATTTTCTGCCGAATTAAAACAGAAATAATTGAGAAAAGAGTCTTTCTGATATTTGATACCAAAGTTTCCCACATGAACAGAAGATAAATTAATAATCGAAGCAGGATTTATATAATTCTGAATTAAAGTCAGTCGAGAGCAGAAATCTGGTTCATATCTCGGCTCGTGGAGACGACAGCGAACATGTTTGGCAGCAGATTTGAGAGAAAACGTTGGATAGAATCTGGTTCAAACTTTACTGGGACGAGGTTCAACGCTGGAATCAGCAGAAGAACACGACTCTGAATCTGATCGTCACACAGAGACGACCTGATCGCTTCCAGGATGTTGAAGGGGAAACCTGCACCAATTCAATTCAGCACCACACGGTCTGTTTAAAGTCTGATGAGTTCAAGTCTGGTGAAACTTCTTATTCTAAACAAATCCCACAGAACCATTACATCATGTCGACCACCTTTATTTACAGCTGAATATCGTTGTTCTCAACATCCTTATTTTTTTCCCTCTGTTATTTTGCGCTTTAAATTTTCTGCTAAATTGTTTGCATGTGCAGCAGCGTCCTTGTTGCCAGTGCAGCACTGTTCTCACAGCTTAAACATTTAAACACAACAAACACACTGTGTGCACTACTTCCTATATATCGTAACTCAAATCTGAGACGTTCCGTTTGAAGGCAGTTTATGTTTCTTTTCAGCGCAGGAGAGAAACTGAATGAATGTTCAGTGTGAGCAGCTGCGTGCACGGCCGACCTGAAACCACCAGCCGTTGATAATTGCAGTGCATTTCCAGTGAAACAAACTGTTCCTGGTTCAGCCGATGACATCACTCCCTGCCAGATGGCACGAGGGGTTTTACAGTAAGTCACAGAAATGCAAAGGACGAGACAAATGGGAATGAAAAACAAGCAGGAGTTTAGAAACTGGATAAATGGATGAGATGGTTTCTAAGGATGGTAAATGTGGGTTTTACCAGCTCAGATTTATTCTTAACCTGGAAACTCTGTTGCACAAACCTTTCTAACTACAATTTAAACTTTTGTTATTGATTAATTTAAGGGTTGGTGGTTAAGAGTTGCATATTTGAGCAGAAGGAGGTTTAAATTTTCCAACCAGTCCCCAAATAAAATGTCTGGAAAATGAGTTCAAGTGAGAAAAGACTCGGAAAATGTCCAGACAAGCGAGTGGGCGTGTTGATGAGAGACAAAAACAAAAAGAATACAAAAATATCAGGATGAAAACAAGGAGCTGTTTATGTGCCATGCCTGCTCGGGTCTCTCCCGCTTGGATGCTCCCACTATCATCCATAAAGTTTTTACCATCCTTGCAGACAGATGTCATAGTTTCAGCTGCAGCCGTGGATTTTAATGCAGTTTTCTTACATCCGACAACTTCTATTTCACTAGTGTGAGAAAATGTCACTCAGGCCCTGAGACTGAATTGAAACATTGGCTGTAAACAAAAAAATCATGTACATATGTCACCTGCTCTACGAATCTGACCCAGACAATCTCCTGCTGCGTCTTTCATTAGAGAAGGTCCAGAGTTCTGTCTTACAAACCAAACAACTAACCGGTGAATCGAGCAAAGTAATTACTTATAAAAACAATAGTTGGCTGCAGCCCTCCTTAAATCAGTGTCTGAGGCATCCAGCCCCTCATGTGTGGTCCATGTCTCTGCTTCCTGCAGAAGATGCAGGACCTTTTGTCTTTCAATTGCAGACAGGAAGAGAGACACTCCCTGATAACCCCATACTTCCTCTGCCTCTGGATCTAATGCCTCCACTCGTCTCAAAGAAAAACACTGATCAGACGTGTGTGTACACGTGTGTGTGTGTGCGCGTGTGTGTGTGTGTATGGAAACTGAGTGAGAACTTTATTTTATAACAAGCTGTGGGATGCAAGAGCAAAAGAACGGAGAGAACGAGGAGGTGAGAGGAGGAGTGAGGAAGGTCAATCAGATAAATATGAGATTTCTATGAACAAAGTATCAGATGAACGACCTGAAAAACTCAAAAAGAAAGTCAAATGGAAGGTCAGCGGAAATGTTGATAATGAGAAGGGTGTAAAGGTGTGTGTGTGTGTGTGTGTGTGTGTGTGTGTGGGTGGGGGGATGTTTGTGGAGGAAATTGGGAAATAACTGGAGGAGGAAAATTGAGAGGTGAGAAAATAGGAGGTAGAGAGCGATAGAGCGGTGGGAGATAAAGTGAAGGAGAGACCCGCTGAGTTCCTGGAATGTTCTGGTGGGTTTGTCTAGAGGGAGGTTGTTTGTAAAGTGGCGTTTGTGGGTTATGAAAGCCTGTGTGTGTGTGTGTGTGTGTGTGTGTGTGTGTGTGCGTGTGCGTGTGCGTGTGTTATATTGTGTAGATTTAGTGTGACTGTAGGTGTTTGCTGTGGTTTTCCTGTTGGATTAGCGAAGGCACCTGTTCATACGCTTTATGATTATGTATAAATAATTGACGAGGCTCCGTGAGCAGAAACAACACATGTGCACAGAGGACGTTTGTCTCTGAGCTTCAGTAGAAAAGAAAGAAGGAGGGATAGAAAAGAAGAGAAACCTACAGGGGCCCTGAAGGTTCATTTATGCCTTTGTGAGACTCGACCAATTGCACGATATTTCAAAATGTTTTTATGTCATCAAATAACTCATTTAAACCAAACGTGGGTAAGAGGGTCGATCCCCGAACACCTCAGGACGAGTCAGGTCAGGTTCAGATAAAAAATGTTCAAACTATATTTGGTTTTGGATGTTGGCCGAGTCTTAACTAGTTTAATACAGAAAGTTGTGGCCCACGTCACACTCTATATAAAACTTTCTAAAATTCCTTTTTTTAAAACACCTTTGATCATTTTTTACTGAGTACTTGAGAACTTGTTTTAAAGTTTGGTCCATGTCCCATCTGCTAACACAGAGGAGGCCGCAGCCAGCCACCACCAGGGGCGACCAGCATGATTTAGCTTCACTTTAAGGGTTAATTTTGAACGACGAGAGCAAAACAACCAACATGATTTTCCTGCTTTGATTTCAGATCACGATTCTCTCTCTTAATTTTCCTCTGGAATCATTACACAAACTTATCTGCACTTTTCTGTCTCTCTGCATCACGAGCGGTCTTTGTCATTAGCCGAGTAAGAAAACAAAGAAAGGACTGGAGGAGCGTTTTAACAAAGCTGATGTCTCTGAGTAAAAAGCGCAGGAGTTCAGCTCTAGTTTGGTGCAACATGCAGTTGTTAGTGAGAAAAGTGAGATTGTGGAGTTTTCTGTTATGTGTCATTAAACTGTGTCCCTGTTGTCAAACTGCTGATTTGAGTTTCTGTCTTGTCTTGGGTGACAATGTGTCCAGAAGGACGGAAACACAAACCTGACACACTCTTTCTATCTCATTCTGTCTTTTCCTCCTCTGTAAGAGTGTGCTACCATAAAGTCTGAGAGAATAACACATGGCAGACAGAAGGAAACTCTATCATGCCAGTGAATGCAGGAACTTTTCTCTCTGCCAACAGACACTGTAACAAATCCTCCCCCGGGCCACGAAATCCAGGGCGCAGACAATAGCCTCCACACCCCAGACAGGCGGCACGGTGCTCGACAGGCCCGTTCTACAGCACAACAGCTTCACCACTGCTACTTGACTCCGCTCCAGCCCCCGCCACCTCCGCCCACCATCAGTCAGTCCGTCAGTCAAGCGGGTGGCGTGTCGGACATGAAGCTCCGAGCTGAGCCATTACTCATGGCCCATGTGGCAGCGGCGTGCACACTCTTCTGTCTGGAGAGTTTCTGTGAGGTGGACATGGACGGAAGCGGAGGTCACGGGGTCGTGATCCGTCTGTCCGCTGAGGACGCCATGACAGCACCGCAGCTGCAACATCGCTTCAAGAGGGGAAGGGGGCAGGACCAACCCAGCAATATTTCACAGTCTGTGATCCTCGTTCATGCACCTTTACAAACACATTCTGTTAAAGGGCCAGTTCACTCAAAAGATAACAACTACTTTTCTCTACGAGTCGAGTCGTAGAAACTTTTGGTTTTTCAGGTTGTTATCTGCCATCTGTTATTTTTCACTACTATTGCTGATATGATACCTGACATAGGTGTCATCAATAAACCAGTGGGGCTCTCAGAAGTGAAGCCACAGACTCTGTCTCCCAGCGACGTCCTTGGCGAGAGAAGGCTACGGTAGTATTAGCAATATTTTTGCTTAATGTCTGGATAGCGGGAGTCTCCACAGACCATAACCTGCACAGATACTACATCAAATACTGCAGCACAGGATGAAGGTGTAAAAGGAGTAATAATCAAAAACAATAATAACTTCCCTACGTTAAATCTTAGACACTTCACACTGACGGTCTGCAATGGAACCTGGAGTCTCAGGGGTCAGGGGGTCAGGGGGTCAGGTCTTGGTCATCCCACTCAGTAATCCATCCACTCTTTTAAAGGAAATACTTACTCTCTCCTTCTACTTTGTCAGGGTTTCGGCTCCACACTATCTGTCGCGTGTCCTGCCGTATCTGGAACGTCCTCCTCTCGGGCCGCTGGGACTTCTTCTGGTAGAAGACGGTCATCACCGTGCCCATCTCCAGGCTGTGGAGGATGCGGGGACCGGCCTCGGTCCAGTCCATCATCCTGGAGGCCATGACCGGACCGGCGGCCCCCGCGGCAGCCTCCTCTGCACAGCCATTGAGGCAGCCACTGAACCTGGCTGCACACATCTTCACTGCATGGCTCCGAGGAAACCCTGCAGGATCACTAATCTGACTTCTGGAAGACGATGCTCGGCCTTGTGGTCAACTACTGTGGGCCAGGGTTGTCCAACATGTCCAAACCCACCGGGGCCAGGAGGAAATCTGGTTCTGTGGCTCTCAGGAGAAGGTTGTAACCGCTCATGAACACTCAGGGTGGGAGGCAGCAGTGAAACCCTGAAATGTCTGAGATGTGAATTATCCCCTGCTCCTCTGGAGGGGGAGTGGATCCCTGTGTGATCCTTTCCAGATGCGTCTGGCAGCAAACCAGTGAAATCCACTCGTGGTGAGTTCTCATCACCGCTGGACTCAGGTTTCCAGCCTCCTCCTCGTCCCTCCAGGCTTTAAATCCTGCCGCTGCTGATGCCGCTGGGGCGGAAGAGCAGCCTCGGCTCTCCCCGCTCCTGGCTCTGGTGGTGCGGCGGTGGAGTCAGCGACAAAGACGCCGAGTTATGTAACCACGTCTCGGACAAACACTCGCAGGTGGGAGCAGCGGGGCGGTGGAGAGGAGGACGGGCACCGGCCGGAGCTCTGCGGCGGATCCACGGGCACGGAGAGACGCGCGGATGGGGGAGCGCGGAGCGAGAACCGTGTGCGCTCTTATCCGAGGAGACATTCTGCTGTGCGCCAACTCTCCTCCTCTTCACACCGCACACAGGACGAATTCATTTACGTAAAAAACAGGTAGAAACTGCATGTGGGGCTGCGGTGCTCCCGTGCGGGGTTACCGGGCGTTACGCGCTCCCTGCCCCGCTCTGTCCTCGCTGCTCCTCGGTCAGGATCTCTCCGCCTCTGCCAGCGCGTCCCCCCAGCTCCGGCTCTCGGCAGCAGACTGTCTCTCAGACCGGAAAGGCTCGACCAGACTTTTTTCCTTTTCCTCTCGGAGCTGCAGCTTTCTGAGAGGAGGATGAGGGGAGAGCAGGGAGAGTCGCAGCGGAGAGGCAGATCGGGAGAGGCGGCGGAGCGCAGAGCGACCTCCGCGGGCCTCCAGGAGATCTGCAGCCTCCTGGAGGAGCTTTTACTTATTCCTGCAAACTCACGGCAGGAGGTGAAGTGAGGTTCAGGTTGTTCAGGACACTGAACTGTCAGAGATTCATCAGCTGCTGCAACAAACTCTTCAATGTCATAAAGTCTGAGAAGCAAAGTTCTTTACTCTGGTTCAACTACATTAGACCAGAGGATGAGAGGAAAGAACGTGATCAAAGATTATTGGATCCCAAAAAAAAATGTGATGAGTTCTTCCCTGATCCAGGTCACATCCCTCCAACAAGATTCATGGAAATCCGTTTGGTTGTTTTTGTGTCATCTTGCTAATTAACAGACGATAACAGACATGTGAAGAAGCAACAAATGAAAGAGGTAAAATTAACTGGTAACTTAAAAGTAGAAAACACTCGATGTCCCTAAGTAGAGCTCATAACTCCACCAAGGCCCAAATGTCCCTTAAATTCAACCAAGCTGCTCCAAATTATAACACATTCGTAGATATTTGTCCTCAAAATGTCTGATTTTCATCAAGATCCATGAATTATTCTCTGTGTAAGCCCCGAAAAGTTAAAAAGACCAAAGTCTACGGTAAACGGTAATGATCTCCTCGTCCAGACCAAACGTCTGCATCATCATGACGTCACAATGTCCCACATTTGCATAATTCACTCTTACACTAATGTGGCAGCCGTGAACCTTTCTCTTAAAGAGACAGGAGCAAAATCCATGTGTTTGAGACAGAGGATGAAAAGAGGAGCTGCAGCGATGGACAGTCTGAGGAAAGTGTTTTCTAAACAGAGCATGGAAACCTTTTCAAGAACTAACTAATTCAAACCAAGCACATATAAGCATATGTGTCCTTTAAAGATAAATCTAGTGGGTTCTTTCTTTTGGCCATGTCCCGTCCTTCCTTCAAGTTTAACCTGCTCAGTCATTTTTGCGGAATCCTTCTGGCAAATTAACAAATGGGTGAAAACATGACGAGGTAATTAAAAAGTCAGTCAGTCAATAATGTGGAAGTTTACGAATTCAAATACCTTTTTTTTTAAATTAAAAACCAAAAGATGTTGAGTTCACTGAAGTTGGGATTATTCTGCTTCAAAACAAAATGACTCAACTGCTTTGGTCGATCACTAAAATCAGTGATAAGTAATTTTTAGTCGGACTGATTGATCAGCTTCACGTCTCAGCTGGAGAGAACATGTGTGGACAGCGTTGTCCGGCGCCCTGAGACGAGACAGCGGTGGACGATACCTCAGCCCCTCTGTGTCTAATCAGCTCCACATGTCTCACTGGGCGTATCAGCGTTCCTGCTGCCAATGGTCAGGACGCAGCCAATCAGAATTCAAGGAAACACTTCTCACATATCCTGCAGCCGGAAGGCAGGAGGGGGGG